GGATGTAGAGGACATTCCTTAAGGATATGTTCAACTGTTTCCAGTTGACCACACTCGCAATTATGACTTCGTTCCTTTAGAAGGCCCCAGATCATTTCAGAGTTTTCATGAATTCTAAATTTATGTTCTGACTTAAGACCAAGATCATTTTTGTTTATAAATTTGTTTATAACTATGTAAGGACAATAAACTGATTATGAAGCCGACGAGAACGGGTCGACTGAGACTTGAGTCTTTGATTTCTATTTGTTTATCTAAGCCTAATAAAAAAAATTTTATCATTGCCAAAAAAAAATGCTAGATAAAATAAAAAAATAAACGACACCAGCCGGATTTGAACCGACGCGGGAAAATCCCAAAAGATGGCTGAATATGTAAAGTTCAAGTCTTTCGCCTTAACCACTCGGCCATAGTGCCTAATTTATACTTTGTAAGAGTTTGGCCTGAACTCTTACTAGCAAAACGGTGAGGAAGCGCGTAAAGATGATATACGGGAGACAGGGTAGGGATACGAGCGGCGGCGTACTAACGACGAGTATTACATACTAACAACTTAACAAACTAATTAATCTTTATTTCCGATGTCTAACCCATAACCTTCCAAAAGGGAAGAGTCAAGGAAGGTTTTTTGATGGTTCGCTTGATTAAACAGCTTGTTAAGGTTTTACTGGGTGTCAATCTCTGGTATTGAGCTACTAGGTGTTATGTATCTCAGGTTTCCCTTAGCACATGGATACTTCCATGGAGAATTCGGCGCCATCGAACGTCTGAACCTATTACGCGCGCTGACACCGCTACTTTGCCAGTCTCATAGAGACAAATGTTTTTGAAATTTCATGTCTTCTTTGTATGTCATTTTGTTTTGTAATTTTGTATGTAACTATTTGATGTAAGGACAATAAACTGATTATCTATCTATCTATTTGATGTAAGGACATTCCCTTAGCACATGGATACTTTCATGGAAAATTCGGCGCCATCGAACGTCTGAACTTATTGCGCGCGCTGACACCGCTACTTTGCCAGTCTCATAGAGACAAATGTTTTTGAAATTTCATGTCTTCTTTGTATGTCATTTTGTTTTGTAATTTTGTATGTAACTATTTGATGTAAGGACAATAAACTGATTATCTATCTATCTA